AGGTCCTTCTCCACAGGGCTGCTCTCAAGGACTGCTCCTTCCAGTCTGTAGGGATGCCTGGGATTCCTCCTGCCCAATTGCAAAACTCTGCACTTGGCCGTGTTGAACCTCATCAGGTTCACCCAGCCCACCTTTCCAGCCTCTCAAGGTCCCTCTGAATGGCATCCCGTCCTTCCACCATGTCAACCCCACCACTCAGCTTGGTGTCGTCAGCAAACTTGCTGAGGGTGCACTCGATTCCGTCATCGAGCACTTCAGGGGGGTGGGTATTTCTCCAGGTGCTCTAAGTTGCCCTTTGCATCCTGCCCACAGCTATGACATCGCGCTGCTCCGCCTGTCGGGTTATGCCACGCTCAACAGCTACGTGCAGCTGGCGGTGCTGCCCAGCCAGGGCACAGTGCTGGCCAACAACTACCCCTGCTACATCAGCGGCTGGGGGCTGACCCGCAGTGAGTGCCACCAACACGGGCGTCCCAGGGACACTCATCCCCAAATCCCTGAAAATTTGGGGGGAATTGGGGTTGCTTGTCAGGTTTTGGAAGTGGGTTGAGGTCCCACGAGGCGTTGTGCGTGGGGATGGATTTGGTGGTGGGAATGTATAGGGGAGTGTTGTGGGGCTCAACAAAATCCTCTAAAAAGGTGGGAAAATGGGGGAGGTTCATCCTTTCTGGAAGCGAATTGAGATCCTACAAGGCATGAAAATACTCAGGGTTGGATGGGATCATGAAATGTACTGAGGGGGTTTTAAGGGACTCGTCAAAACCTACTGAAAACGTGGGAAAAGGGGGGAGGTAAATCCTTTTTGGAAGGGGGTTGAGGTCCCACAAGACATGGGGATGCTCAGGGTTGGATCACAGAATCACAGAATTGTAGGGGTTGGAACGGACCTCTAGAGATCATCGAGTCCAACCCCCGTTGGGGTCATGCAAAATTTTGGGGGGTCTTCCAGGGCTTGCTAAAAATTCACTAAAAATGTGAGAAAAATGGGAGAGGTTAATCGTTATTGGAAGTGGGTTGAGGTCCTACAAGGTGCCATGCATGGGGATGGATGTAGTCATGCAAATATTTAGGGGGATTTTGTGGGATGCCTAAGGTTGGATGCAATCATGAACATATTTTAAGGTGTTTTATAGAGCTCACCAAAATCCCCTAACAAAATGGGGAAATGGGGGAGGTCAATCCTTTTTGGAAGTGGGATGAGGTCCTACAAGATACGGGGATGCTCAAGGTTGGATGAAGTCATGCAAAAATACTGGGGAGTTTTATAGGGCTCATCAGAATTCATTAAGAATGTGGGAAAATGGAGGAGGTCAATCACTTTTGGACATGGGAGGAGGTCCCCCAAGGGATGGATGTTGCTGTGCAAATATTTTGAGAGGTTCTATGGGACGCTCAAGGTTGGGTGCTGCCGTGTGAATATTTTGGGAGGTAATATTTTGGAATCTGTGGGTTTTAATGGATCCTTGCTCACTTGCAGCCAATGGGCAGCTGTCGAGTGTGCTGCAGCAGGCGTACCTGCCCGTCGTGAGCTACAGCACCTGCTCCACCTTCTCCTACTGGGGCTCCACAGTCAAGAGCACCATGATCTGTGCCGGCGGGGACGGCGTGCGCTCCGGCTGTCAGGTACAGCCCTGTCACCTCACTGTCACCCCCCAGCCCCATTACAGCCCCTCTCTGATGGATGCCCCTCCATAGGGCGACTCGGGAGGCCCCCTGCACTGTGCAGTCAATGGGGTGTACCAAGTGCACGGCGTCACCAGCTTCGTCTCCAGCTTGGGCTGCAACGTACGCAACAAGCCCACTGTCTTCACCCGTGTCTCTGCCTACATCTCCTGGATATCCAGCGTAAGGAGGCGGGGTGGAAGGGTTTTGTTTTTTCCAGTGGGGTCGTGCAAAGGGGACTTTCATGGCTTCTCCACCCACTGGGAAGGTGTGCAGCACCCAAGGGGGCATGGAGCACCCAATGGGAAATGGAGAACCCAACAGGAAATGGAAAACCCAATGGGGAATAGAGCACCCAATGGGAAATGGAACAACCAGTGGGGGATAGAGCACCCAGTGGGATGTGGAACACCCAACAGGGAGTGGAGAACTCCAAGGGAAATGGAACAACCAGCGGGGAATAGAGCACCCAATGGGGTGTGAAGTACTCAACAGGGATGGAGTATCCAATGGGAAATGGAGCACCCAAGGAGGAATAGGGCACCCAATGGGGCATGGAGCACCCAAAGGGGAATGGAGCACTCAGAGGGGAATAGGGCATCCAACGGGGAATGGAGTACCCAATGGGGAATGGAGAACTCAGTGGGGTGTGGAGCACCCATTGGGGCCACGGTAGTGACTCAGTGGGAGCACTGTGGATTTGTGGGGTTACACTCCTTGTTGTCCCTCCAGGTGATCTCCTAGAACAAAGCAGCAGGAGGAGGAGAACCCCAACCCCAGCCCTGAATGTGGACATTGAGCATTTCAGCTGGGGACATTTATGTCTCAAAGCTGGCATCAATAAATTTTGTTCTTCAGTGAGAGCTGGCTGTTGTTTCTCCTCAGCAAGGCTGGGGATGCCCTGCCCCACTTCTTTTGCCTGCGTTAAGGCAATTCTTCTCCAATCTCATCTTTTGCAGTATCCCTTTTGTCAGGTTCCCTTTGGCCAGATCCCTTTCTGCCTTGCACAGAGTCTTGGAAAAAGCAACCAGACCTGGAAAGCCAAAGTGTCCTTGGGTGAAAGAAGGGAAAAATTGCTCCCTTGAGGAGCAGGAAGCTGTCAGGGGAAGGACTTCTCCCAGTCCCTCAACTCTGCTACAGTCCCCATCCCATCCCCATCCCCATTCCATTTCCAACTCACCCGAGTTCTATCCCATCCCATGCCCATTCTCATTCCACCCCCACACCACCCCCATCCCCAACCCCTCCCCATGCCACCCCCGTGTCCCACAGTGCCTCGCGCTCCCCACACCCCCATTGGTCTCGAGGACATCCAGAGCAAATTCATTTGCAATGAGAGGGGATGGATGTGGTGCTGGTATCACCTCGCCCAGTGCTGTAGGGTCAAAGCACATCCACGCACCCCACTGGTGAGCGGCTGATGGTGCTCGAGGTGGGAAACAAACAGCAAAGAATTGCAGAAGTGACTCCAAAAGCAAAATTGAAACTCAAAACAGAAACGTGGGTGAGAATTGCCATGGCTCGGCTGTGTGTTCTCCCCTTCCCCTCCCACCCCGTGGTTGGGTGTTTCGGGGGTGCCCCGAGCTCAGCGGATGCATCGCTTCGAACTTCCGCAGCTGACACCAAACCACAGCTGATGCTGCAAGCAGAACCCTGCAGCCATCAGCAGCCATGGCTGAGGGCAAGAGCGGGGCCGGGCTGTTCGCCAAGCAGGTCCAGAAGCACTTCAGCCGGGCACAGGAGAAGGTAGGGCATGGCCTCACCGCCCTCGACTTTCATTTTTCGGTTGGGTTTTTGCAGGGTGAGGTGGGGCAGCCCCGATGGGCTGTGCTCACCACGCACCTCTCTCCTCCCATGGGTATCCGGTTGGGTGCCCCATGGTGCTGCAAGGCTTCAGTTTTGCAATCCGCTCCTCAGTGCCCCCTGAAATGCTTCATGAAGTGGGATTTTCTCCCCAGAAGTACTTGTGGGGCAGGCCATGGGGTGGGTGATGCTGGAACGGGGTTCCATGGGACTGTCCCCACGTCCCCCTGGGCCAACAGAACCCGGGGTCAGGGTGGCCCCGCAGTGCGGGTGCAGCCCGTGGCAGGAAGCGGGGGGAAGGGCTGCGGAAGTGGGCTGAAATGGGGCGATTGGACGTGGTTTGGGGACATTTCAACCCCAACAATGGAAGGAGCAGCTCCCATGATTCCTCATTAGGGCTAAATTCAGCTCTTCCGTGACCATATCAGCCCAGGACACGCTTCCGTGGTTCTGCGGTGGGGACATTGGGGTGGCCTTCACCCACAGCTATTCCTCTTCTTCCTCCTCGCAACAGTGTCACCAATTCCCACTGGGGCAACACTTTAGGGCTTCATTTGCATCAGTATTCACCACCGAATGCCATCCCCGTCCCATCTCTCTTCCATTCCCACACCATCCCTATCCCATCCCTGTTCCATCCCCACACTACCCTTGTTCCAATCCCATACCATCCCCATCCCATTCCTCTTCCATCCCCATACCACCCCCACACCATCCCTGTTCCATCTCCATCTCATCCCTGTTCCTTTCCCACACCATCCCCATCCCATCGTACCTGTTCCATCCCCATCCCTTCCCCATTCAATTCCTGTTCCATCCCCATACCATCCTCATGTCATCCCAATGCACCTGTGCAGGGGGGAGCGCAGGGCTGCATCCGTAGAATTTCACAAATGAAGGCAGTGTTGAGTGGGGATACACCGTGTTGGTTTGGCTCCCCAAATCCACAGATTTCCTCTAAAAATAAAGAGCATTAAGGGATGGGCAGAAGTTTGGCATCCCTCGAGCACAGCTCAGTTCAGGTGGGCTCCGCATTGAGACAGTCAGATCCTGGGCACCCTTTGGGGCACTTCCAGCATTTTGCCCACTCTCCATGCTGACACGCTCCCCTTTCCATCCCAGGTTCTGCAGAAGTTGGGCAAAACCGTGGAAACCAAAGACGAGCAGTTTGAGCAGAGCGCAAACAACTTCCAGCTGCAGCAGGTGGCACCAGGGGGCAGAGGGGACTGGGGGGAGAGGGACACTCCGTGCCATCCCCATGTCATCTGCATGTCATCCCTGTGACTTCCCTGTTCCATCCTCATACCATCCCCATTCCATCCTCATGTAATCCCTATGCTATCTCCATATCATCCCAATGCCACCCCTGTTTCATCCCCATGGCACCTGCAAGTCCTCCCCTTCCACCCCTGCTCCATCTCCACGCCATCTGCATTTCATTCCCATGCCATCCCCATCCTATTCCTGTTCCACCCCCACACCACCCCCATGCCATCCCTATTCCATTTGCACATCATGCCAATGCCATCCCCATGCCATCCCTGTACCATTCCCATCCCATCCCTGCACCACTCTCATGTCATCCCTGACCCCTCATATCATTCCAATGCCATCCTCATGTCACCCCAATGCCATTCCCATTCCATCCCTGTACCATCCCCACGTCATCTCCATGCTATCCCTACTCCATCCCCATTTTATCCCAATGGCCATCCCTGTGCTGCCCCTGTTCCATTCTGGTGTAATCCCCATTTCATGTCATCCCTTCCCTGTACCATCCTCCCTCCCATCCCATCCCATCCCACCCCACCATCACTCCAATGCAATCTCCATCCCATCCTCATTTCTCCCCAGTGCCGCCCCAATTCCATCTCCTTCCCATCCCCATTCCCACCTCAGTTCCACCCCCATGCCATTCCTGTTCCATCCGCATCCAACCCCAGTGCCACCTCCATCCCGTCCCTGCTCCATCCCCACCCCACCCCAGTGCCACCCCCATGCCATCCCTGTTTCACCCCTATCCAACCCCAGTGCCACCCCCACACCATCACCATCCCATCCCCAATGCACCCCCATCCCATTCCTCCCACCCCCACTCCCCACACCCTATCTGTACTCCCCACCCCAGGGGCTCCAACCTGCCCCCTTCCCCCCCTCAATACAATTGCTTTACAGAATGAAGGCAACAAACTCTACAAAGACCTGAAGGCTTTTGTTGGCGCGGTGAAAGGTACAGAGCAGTGCCCCTTTTGCACACCCTGGGCAGTGAAGCACAGAGCATTCGGGGGAGTTGGAAGGGTGGGGGGGGTTGTCAGGCCCTGAGGTGCATTTCCTCACCACGATCCCATATTTTGCAACCCCCCCATCCCTGCAGTGATGCACGAGAGCTCACGAAAAGTGACCGAAACGCTGCAGGAGATCTACAGCAGCGAATGGGACGGACACGTGGAGCTGAAGGCCATCGCAGACGTGAGCACTGCTGTCCCCTGAGGGTTGGGGTCACGGAGATGAGTCCACGGGGACAGAGCCCGGCACGTCCCCGATTCCCATCCCCTTCCCTCCTGTAGAGCAACGACTTGCTGTGGGAAGACTATGAGGCGAAGCTGGGCGACCAGGCGCTGCGCCTGATGGAGAACTACCTGGCTCAGTTTGGGGACATTAAGGCATGTGGGGTGTGAATGTGTGGCATGGAGTGGCGTGGCACCGCATGGCATGGGATGGGATGGGGTGGGATGGGGTGAGATGGGATGGGATGAAATGGGATGGTGTGCTGTGGCAGGGCATGGCGTGGTATGGTAATGTGTGGTATGGCACAACATGGCATGACATGGCATAGTATGGTATAGGATGGGATGGGATGGCACAACAAGGCATAGCACAGCATGGTATGGCATGGCATGGCACAGCATGGTACAGCATAGAAAGGAATGGCATGGCATGATATGATATGGCATGGCATGGCATGGCACAGAAAGGCATGGCACAGCACGGTACAGCATAGAAAGGAGTGGCAAGGCATGATACGATATGGCATGGTATGGCACAGAAAAGCATGGCATGGCACAAAAAGGCATGGCACAGCATGGTATGGCAAGGCATGGTGCAGCATTGCATGGCATGGCACAGCATGGTATGGCATGGCATGGTGCAGCATTGCATGGCATGGCACAGCACAGTACAGCATGGCATGGAATGGTATGGCACATTATGACATTGCATACCACGGCATGGTGTGGCAGTGCATGGCATGGAAAGGCATAGCACAGCATGGAACAGCATGGCCTGGTGCAACATTGCACGGCATGGCACACCATGACTTGGTATGGCACAGTACAACAGTGTATATCGTGACATGGAATGGCACAACATGGTATGGCATGGTATGGCACAACACAGCATTGTACAACATGGTATGGAACGGCATGGCATGGCACATGATTTTGGATGACACATGGCACAGCACGACATTGTACATCATGGCATGGCACAGCATAGTGCAGAAAGGCACGGCGCGGCCATTGGCATGGCATGGCATGGCACAGCACAGCATGGCACAGAATTGCATGGCATGGCACGGCGTGGCATGGCTCAGCACAGCATTGCACAGCACAGCACGGCAAGGCACTTTTCCATCTCTCTGAGCCCCCTCTGCCCCACTCAGGAGCGCATCGCCAAACGCGGCCGCAAACTGGTGGACTACGACAGCGCTCGGCACCACCTGGAAGCACTGCAGAACTCCAAGAAAAAGGACGAGGCCAAGATTGCCAAGGTGGGTACAAGCCTGCTCCGGGAGAGGGCTGTGCCCCACTAACATCCCCCTGAACCCCCACAACCCCTCCGGACCCCCCCCCAGGCTGAGGAGGAGTTCAACAGAGCGCAGGCGGTGTTCGAGGAGCTGAACCGGGAGCTGCGGGATGAGCTGCCCGTGCTGTATGGGAGGTACTGAGCTGACCCAACCCGCAGCCCCCTCCCCAAAATCCCCCCTGAAAAAGCTTTGCAAACACACATGCATCATTCCAACTCCCCCCTCTACCCCCCCCGCCAAAAAAAAAACCACGCCAAAACCCACCCCATTGGGATGCAGCGCTGTTCCTAACAGCTGTCCCCATTCATCCCATTTTCATGCCCCCCATTTACCCCCTCCCCAAGGATGGGGGTCAAGGGCTGCACCCCTCCGGCCCCCTCCTCCTCGTGCCCCATTTTTCCCTGCAGCCGCATTGCCTGCTACGTCACCATCTTCCAGAACATCTCCAACCTGCGTGACATCTTCTACAAAGAGATGAGCAAGGTGGGACCCCAAAACCCCCTTACAGACACCCCCTTGCCCCCCCCCTCCCCATTCTGCTGGTGCTGTGCCGCTCTCTGGGGTTGATGGGGATTTACATGGCCTCGAGTCCTCCGGTGCTGCTGTCAGCAGTGAGCAGTGCTGCTTCACCACCAAGTTTTGGGATGAAAAAAAAGTCTTTTTATCCATCGTTTCAATGGTGGGGAAAAAAAAAATGGAAAGAGTTTTCGAGTTTTGCTTCTTCCGTGGGGATCAAATATACCCCCAAAGGGCATCAGGGAGAGGAAGGATGGGAGAAGCCATTTCCTCATAGCTGGTGCTTTCCGGCCTCCATATGACCTCTTTTTAACCCAAATTTGCCTTTTGTGGGATGCAGCCCCACCCATGGGTGTCCCAGGGGGCTCTGATGAGTTTCTCTCCCCCCACGCAGCTCAACCGTGACCTCTACGAGGTGATGGGGAAACTTGACAAGCAGCACTCCAGCAAAGTCTTCATCATCAAAGGTGTCTCCAGGTAAGGGGGGTCCCATGGTGCCCCAGAGCCCCCTCCCCCAAAAAGGGGGTGGATGTAATGCCTTCCTCTATTTCTGCCTGTGACCAATGGGGATGGATGAGCACCTCCCAGTGTTGGGTGCCGTAGGGATGAATTGGGGCTGAGCACCTCCTGACATTGGGTGCTGTAGGGATGAATTGGGGCTGAGCACCTTCTCACACTGGGTGCTGTAGAGCTGAATTGGGGCTGAGCATCTCCTGACGTTGGGTGATGAACTGGGGCTGAATACCTCCCAGTATTGGGTGTTACAGGGCTGAATTGCAGCACCTCCCGATGCTGAAGGCTTCAGGGTTGAACTGAGGCTGAGCATCTCTTGATGTTGGGTGGGAGAAGGATGAACTGAGGCTGAGCACCTCCCAGAATTGAGTATTATAGGGATGAGCACCTCCCAACACTGGGTGCTGGAGAGATGAGGTGAAGCTGAGCATGTCTAGACTTTGGGTGCTGTAGGGCTGAACTGGGGCTGAGCATCTCCCAACACTGGGTGTTTTAGGGTTGAACTGGGACTGAGCATCTCCCAACTTTGGGTGCTGTGGAGATGAAATGGAGCTGAATGCAGACACACTGAGATGTTGGGTGCTATAGGGCTGAACTGGGGCTGATCCTCTCCCGGTGTTGGGTGCTATAGGGCTGAATTGGGGCTGATCCTCTCCCGGTGTTGGGTGCTATAGGGCTGAATTGGGGCTGATCCTCTCCCGGTGTTGGGTGCTATAGGGCTGAATTGGGGTTGATCCTCTCCTGGTGCTGGGTGCTATAGGGCTGAATTGGGGTTGATCCTCTCCCGGTGTTGGGTGCTATAGGGCTGAATTGGGGCTGATCATCTCGTGTTGGGTGCTATAGGGCTGAACTGGGGCTGATCATCTTGTGTTGGGTGCTATAGGGCTGAATTGGGGCTGATCCTCTCCTGGTGCTGGGTGCTATAGGGCTGAACTGGGGCTGAGCACATCCCAGTGTTGGGTGACGAATTGGGACCTTTGGCTTTGGTGCCCCTCCAAGCTAATGGGATGCCTGGGGATGAATTTGGGTCGGGGATGCAATTTGGGCTGGGGACACGGTGTCACCACGACCCCAGAGCAGTGTCCAGCTGCATTTAGGGTCTCACAGGAACTGAACCCAATCTGTCATTCCCCTATGCAGCAACCGCCGCTCGCTGCTCATCTCGGCCCCCGTCAGCCCCCCAGCCGTCTACCCTTGCCCAGAGAAGGCACCCAACTGGGACCCCTCATCAGCAGCAGAGCAAACACCAACGACCCCTGGTGCGGGCAGCGATGCCACTGAGGATGTCCCCAATGGCCCCGCAGCACCGGGTCCAGCTGAGCCGGGTGTCCCCATGCCTGGACCCCCTCCAGCCTCACCCGCAAGTGTGGGGTCTGCGTCGGAGTCGGAGTGCAGCGAGGAGAGTCATGAGATCGACCTCAGCCCCCAAGAGATGGAGGTGTCCGCGGGCAGTGGGTGCCCTGAACACCCCAAAACAGAGAAGGGTGACGGGGGGGGAGTGGAGGGCATCGCTGCATCCATGGCTTCCATGATCCTCTCCGAGGCCATCGCTGCGGCCACCGGTGCTGCTCCGGAGGGCAGCGATGGCACTGATGGTGGGGACAGCATCGACAGTGAGACCAGCCCTGTGGAGGGGGCAGGGGAGGGTCCACCCCCCGAGGGATCAGAGGAGAGCGTGGAGGGGACGGATGTGTCCCCAGAGGTGAGCAAAGCACAAGTCAGGGCACTGGGGGGAGGGTTTGGAAGGGTGTGCTGGGGTCTGCACGCCATGGAGGCACATGGGGTGATGCCCTGGGGTTCTCAGGGCCCCCATAGAGGAGATGGAGGGTGGGGGGTGTCTGTAAATGAGCCCCAGCTTTGTGCAGGGATGGGGTCTGGGGATAGGCCCAGTCTGATTCAAGGACACAGGGCCTCGGGGGTCCGTGGTTCAGGGACATGGGGAGGGGGGGATGAACCCCAGCTGGATTCAAGGATTTGGGGATGGGAGGGTCAGGAGATGGGGTTTATGAGAGGGTGGGGGGAAGAGTGAGGGTTATGCAAAGAGATGGGGTTTTGGGGGGGTGGGGGGAAGAGTGAGGGGAGCAGGGTATGAGCCCCCACCCCACGCATCGCTGCTATCCCCACAGGTGGGGTCGGAGGCAGGGCCCCATGAGCAAGGCACACCCGAACCACTGGAGCAGGACGTGAGCTGTGACCCCCCCCAGGACACCAGCGAATCCCTCACCCCACTGTGACCCCCACTCTGTGGCCCCCACGCCCAGAGCAGTGCAGGCAGTGAAGGGGGAGCAGCTTTATGGGACTGCCTGCAGATCACTGCGCGTAACCAGAATGTGCTTCACAACACAGGGCTGAAATAAAGGCAGAGGGCAGCGCCAGCACCTGGAAATGCACTGAGAGAGGAGGTCGGATTTTCTGGACCTCAATTCCATCCCCAGCACTGAATCTGGGGGTTTGCATTGCAGCAGGCATTGCATACAGACGGAGTATCTCATGCAAAACTTTGTGCTGCAAATGTGCAGCATTGAGGTGCAGTGCAGCTCCATCACCAGCACCAAATCTGGGGTTTGCATTGCAGCAGGCATTGCACACTGCTGGAGCATCCCATGCAAACCTCTGTGCTGCAAAGGTGCAGTTTTGGGGTGCATTACAGCTTCAACCCCAGCACCAAGTCTGGGGGCTTGCATTGCAGCAGGTGTTGCACACAGATGGAGCATCCTGTGCAAACTCAACGTGCTGCAAAGCTGTGACATTTAGGTGCCCTACAGCTTCAACCCCAGCACCAAATCTGGGGGCTTTGCATTGCAGCAAGTGTTGCATACAGATGGAGCACCCCGTGCAAACCTCTGTGTTGCAAAGGTGCAGTTTGGGGTGCACTGCAGCTCCATCCACAGAACAAAATCTGGGGTTTGCATTGCAGCTGGCATTACAGATGGAGCACCCCATGCAAACCTCTGTGCTGCAAAGGTGCAGCACTGGGGTGCACTGCAGCTCCATCCCCAGCACCAAATCTGGGGTTTGCATTGAGCAGGCATTGCTTACAGATGGAGCACCCCGTGCAAACTCACTGTGCTGCAAAGTCGTGATATTGAGGTGCACTACAGCTTCAATCCCAGCACCAAATCTGGGGGCCTTGCATTGCAGCAGGTGTTGCACAAAGATGGAGCATCCTGTGCAAACTCAATGTGTTGCAAAGGTGCAGTTTTGGGGTGCACTGCAGTTCCATCCACAGAACAAAATATGGGGTTTGCATTGCAGCTGGCATTGCACACTGCTGGAGCATCCCATGCAAACTCACTGTGCAGAAAAGTCGTGACACTGAGGTGCACTACAGCTTCAACCCCAGCACCAAATCCGGGGTTTGCATTGCAGCTGGCATTGCACACTGCTGGAGCACCCCATGCAAACCTCTGTGCTGCAAAGTAGGGACACTGAGGTGCACTACAGCTTCAACCCCAGCACCAAAGTTGGGGGCTTTGCATTGCAGCAGGTGTTGCACACAGATGGAGCACCCCGTGCAAACCTCTGTGTTGCAAAGGTGCAGTTTTGGGGTGCACTGCAGTTCCATCTCCAGCACCAAATCTGGGGTTTGCACTGCAGCTGGCATTGCACACTGCTGGAGCACCCCGTGCAAACCTCTGTGGTGTGAAGGAGCAGCTTTGGGGTGCACTGCAGCTCCATCCCCAGCACCAAATCTGGGGTTTGCATTGAGCAGGCATTGCACACTGCTGGAGCAACCTCTGTGCTGCAAAGGTGCAGATATGGGGTGCACAACAGCTCCACCCCCAGCACCAAATCTGGGGGCTTTGCATTGCAGCTGGCATTGCACACTGCTGGAGCATCCCATGCAAACCTCCGTGCTGCAAAGAGGTGCAGCTTTGGGGTTCCCCATGGGGCAGCTCCTGTGGGTCTTACAGACAGGTTCATAAATGGGATTTGTGCCCCACCTCCCTACAGGCTGCACGTGTGTGCAATGCACTTTGCTGCACGGGCCGTGCCGCTGCAGGGTGCCCCATCCTGCACCAGCAAAGGGTTAAGCAGGAGGAATTGCAGCTCTGTCATCATCAGGGGCAGTGGAACTGGAAAGGTGAGGCAGGAAGGGAACGCCCGGGCGAGGCCAACGCTGCACTGCACTGCATTACACTGCGCTGCACTGCAAGGAGCAGCACATGGTGCCTGCAGCCCCGCACAGCCGGCACGGGTATGGGGGAGTGGGGGCGATTTGGGGTGTGCTTTGTGCTTGGGGTGATGGGTGTGGGGTGTTGGGGGGTGAGAATGGGACGGTGGGAATGGGGTGGTGGGTATGGGGTGGTGGGTGCATGGTGGTGGGTATGGAGTGTTAGATGTGGGGTGGTGGTTTTGGGGTGGTGGGTGTATGGGTTTTGGGTATGGGGTGCTGGGTGTTGGGTGTTTGGTGTAGGGTATTGGGTATAGGGTGATGGGAATGGAGTGATTGGTATGGGGTGGTGGGTGTATGATGTTGGATATGGGGTGTTGGGTATGGAGTGTTAGGTATGGGGTGTTGTATATGGGGTGCTGGGTATGGGATGTTGGGCGTTTAGTGTCATGCTATGGTGCTGGATATGGAGTGTTGGGTTTGGGGTGTTGGGTGTTAGGTGTGGGGTGCTGGGTATGGGGTGTTGGGTGTTTTAGTGTAGTGCATGAGGTTTTGGGTACAGGGTGGTGGGTATGGGCTGGTGGGTATGGGGTGTAGGGTGTTGGGTATAAGGTGTTGGGTGTTGGGTGCTGGGTATGGGGTGCTGGGTATGGGGTGCTGGGTATGGGGTGTTGGGTATCGAGTGCATGGAGTTTTGCTCATGGAGAGGCTCAGGTGGAACTCAGCCCTGCAGAAGGCAGTGCGAACGCTGAGTCAGGAGAGGGGGAATCCCATGAGATGGAGCAGAACACAGCGGGGTCGTGGGCCCCTCCCCTGGGTTTGGAGGTGGGATGGTGCCACGCATCCCCTGCGTTGAGTTTTTGGGATGGCTGCACTGCAGGAACCACTCGAGGGCTCCAGGGAGGTTACAGGGAATAAAGAGCAACGCTGCGTCCATAACAAACCCTCACCCAGAGAGCCCTCCCCCAACCCCCTTTGCACCCAGCAGTGCAAACAAGAGAGCATTTCCCATCCCATGAGCACTCCCAGCTCTGCAGCACATTCCCTGCAGTCAGCCCCACACCTCTGCCCCACACGGTGCTCAGTGCAGAGCTGTGCAGCGCCTGCAGGACCGGCTGCCTTGTGCCCCACAAACTGGTTTAGCACTGGTTTGTCACCATCCGGACCGGCCGGTGCTGCGCTGCAGCCTGGGGGGGGGAAGGGGTTGGGCCTGGGGGGGGTCCTGGTAAAATAGGGTTTGGCTGCTGGGAATGGGAATGG